TTGCTTGCTCATCAGCAGATCCCTTCTCTTTGTGCTCCCTCCTTCTCTTTGTCCTCCCGCGTATCTTTCCCTCTCTCCTCCTTGTCCTCGGCCTTCTTCTTTTCTTTCTGCCGCTCCTGCTGCCTTCGGATCCTCCTTTGGTCTTCTCGCTCCTCGTGCTCCTCAGCCTGCCCCTGCTGCTACTGCTGCTGCTGTTCCTGGTACTCCTCCTCCCGTCTTCTTCCTCCGCGCCCTTTTCTGGACATCCATTTTGCGGTGTCACGCACGGGAACTGCGGAAGGATGGCATGCTAATTTAGGCGGAGCATCGGCGACAGTGAACAGGCCAGCATTACAGGCGATGGCGAGAGCTGCAAGCCCGCTGCCCTGCGGGTTCACGCGCTCGATGGAAGCTTGAGCCGCCAGACCGTGGAGGTGTGGGTGCTGAGGGTGAGGAGGACGGGGAGGAGGCGAGTGGGGAGGGGGAGGGGGAGGGAGGAGGAGGGGGAGGAGGGGGAGGAGGAGGAGGAGGAGGAGTAGGAGGAGAGGAGGAGGAGGAGGAGGAGGAGGAGGAGGAGGAGGGGAGGAGGAGGGTGAGGAGGAGGAGGAGGAGGAGGAGGAGGAGGAGGAGGAGGAGGAGGAGGAGGAGGAGGACCAGGAGCAGGAGGAGGAGGACCAGGAGCAGGAGGAGGAGGGGGAGGGAGGAGGAGGAGGAGGAGGCGAGTGGGGAGCGCGCTGGTTCACGCCGTGCGCGGGCGCCCTGGCCTCACGACTTGGCCGCCTCCCGCGCTCAGCTGATGCTCCGTCTGCGCCGCGCACCGCCCTCCTTCCTGCCACCTCGGCTTGCAGGCACACCCCCCATGACGACTTGCGCCGGCTCTCCTCTGTACCTTACGCGGGTTCAAGATCAGCTGCAGCCAGGGCCTCCCTCCACCCCCTCATTCCTCCCCTCTTCCTGGCAGGAGGCCATCCTCGATCCTCCCTGCTCCATCTCTCCTCCCTCCTTCCGCCTCCTCCCTGCTCCCTGAGGTTCTCTTGGGCCTTCCTTCTCTTTTTTCTTGAGACGGGGCGTGAGGAACGAGAATCGGCACCCTGCCCGCGGCATGTTGGGGCGTGTGAGAATGCTGGCTGCTTGTCTGGTAGGGCTCCTATAGTTGTCCATGGCGGCCGTATGCTTTGCTTGCAAACCAGGGTCGAGGATTATCCTCCCCTGGTTTTGTTGTCCAATGCCTTTTTCAGCATCTGGTCGGCTCCAAGACGGCGCAAGCTATCGCTCAACAGCCGCTGCAGGATGCCTGAAGCGAAGCCCAGGACGACCCAACGCGTCCCCAGATACTCCAAGATGCCCTAAGAATACCCCGAGAGGTGCCACGAAGCCTTTAAGAGACGCCGTAGGGGCCAAGCACAATGAAACAACCAATGTGGCCAGCCAGCTTAATACCGTATGCCCCACCGAGTCAGGGAACTAGTCCACCGTCTGAAAATGACTGGGAAGGGATCTCACCCGCAATCTCTTCCTGGATTGGCTCCGGAGCTAGCGTGCCTCCGCTCTGCCTGGTCTGCAGGGCGTGCTTGACGAGGACACTCGGCTCCAGGATTCCATTCCCTCCCCTTCTCCTTCGCCCTCCGAGCCTCCGCGGAAGAGCACCTCGTCCCTCCCGAGCACGCCGTCGGCGATGCCACAGCACAGCGCGTGCACGACGAGGCAGCGGGCCAAGGGCTTTTCCAGGCGTGCGGAAGCAGGAGGAGAAAGGGTTCGGGATAGGAGCAGCAGGGGGCAGGAAGGAGGGGCGCGCGGACGAGGCAGCGAGGGGCCGCGCGGCCGCGGCGGCAGAGGTGCTCTGCCGCTTCGACAGCCGCAGCTCTCAGATGACGCCCTGGAGCTCCGACTGGGCCGGCGGCACGGAGGGCTCCGACCTGCGCATCGCCAAGGCCGCAGGGAGCGGGGGAGGCAGGCCACTGCGCGCTCAACCGTCCCAGCCACCTGCTCGCCCTCGCCTTTTTTGACGTCAGTTATCCTCCTCTACCTCCTCCCCCTTCGCCTTCGCCTTGCCCTTTTCCTCCTCGCCCTCGCCCTCCCCCTCCTCCTCCTCCTCCGCCGCTTCCTCGTCCACCTTCTCCTTCTTCTCGTTCGCTTCCTCCTCGCCCTCCTCTTCCTCCTCGCCGTTGCCCTTGACCCGCCTCCTCCTTACTCCTGATCCGCCTTCGTCCCGCCCGGCCTTATTCGCAAAGTCCTGTCGGAGTACTGCCGAGAAGCCTCCCATCTTCACTTCCCTCCGTCGCTCCGTCTCGCCTTGCCTCTCCTCCCCTCTTGCACCTCCCTCGCCCTTGCCCTTCCCCTTCCCCACTTCCCCTTCCCTAGTCAGGAGGAGGAGAGGAGGACCTGGTCAAGTAGGAGAATGAGGACAAGGAGGACCAGGAGGAAGGAGGCGATGCTCGAATGCGCCGAGCGGAGGGATCCGGGAGTGTCCACTTACTCGGGTCTGGTCTGACCCACTCGCCGTGCGAATCGGTGCCATTAGCTTCTTCGGGTCCTGTCAGTCTCATGCGTAGTAAGATTCGCGTTCTTCATGTAATACGAAAGGGTGTCAGTTGCTCCTCTAGCTATTGTTGTCCACCATGTGTGTCCAGGTTGACTGTCGTACATTCGCTTTGTCGCGCTTGCGCTGATAGTCAGCGCTTCCCCGTCACTTTTTATGACCCGTTGTGGTCGTTGGTGTCTGTGTGTGTGTGTGTGTGTGTGTGTGTGTGTGTGGGAGGGTGTATGACGTGTCTAGCGGAGAAATTGGGGATCGTCAGGTTGTCCATCGCCGCTTGCCTGAAGTGCGCTGTTTTATCTTTCGAGTTGCACATGTTCAGGCATCCTTCTTTTTATACTTCCTACACACCCCGAATGAAGATCTTTCAGCAGAACAGGTCTCTGCTGGATTGCAGGAGGCGGGGAGGAGTCAGGGGTTCAGATGGAGATCCCCCTTCTGTTCCCCTGCCCCTCCACCAGTTTTCGCTCCACCGGGCCCCTCTCAGGAGTACGGGCTTGACCCGCGGCTCATCAACGGCGCCAAGGAGGTCGCCAGCGAGGTCTTCCCTCTCGAGCGTGCAGTAACCCCCTTCTCCGAGTACAAGCTCAGGCATGCACGCGGGGCCAATGCAACGGAGTAGAAGAGAGACATGTGGAATGAATGTGGGACTTGGCGGAGGGGAGAGAAGGAGGGCGGCAGGGAAGGAGGGGATGGTTGGATGCATGGATGGATAGATGTGCGGAGGGAGCGGGGGATTGCGGGAGGACGGGTGTGCTGCATCCAGTGGTGTTTCCAGCAGGCCCCCGCCCTTTCCTCCCTCCTTCCTCCTCCTTCTTTCCTTCCTGCTCGCTGCCTCTTTCCCCCTTTCCCCTTTCGTGCTCCCTCCTTTCTCTTCCCTCCTGTCGCCTCCCCAGTACTCCTCCCTCCCCCCCTTCCCCCCGCCCTCATCCATCCTCCGTCTTCCTTCCTCCCTCCTCCCTCCATCCTCTCTTTTTCCCTCCCCCCTCATACCCTCCTCTCCCTCGGCCTCCTCTCTTTTCCCTCACTCTACAATTACTCAATCTGTATCTTGCTCTCCTCTCTCCCCTGACTCTGTCTGGAAGATGTTCCGCCCTTATTAACTTATGGTCTCCCACCTACAGGATGGGCTACTTATTTTTTGTTGATATGTTTTTTACGGTCCGATTAGTTTTGGTGTTTCAGAATTTTGCTCCCGCTGTAGCGCGAGCCTCATTTTCGGATCGGCGCTTCGCTCCCGTCTTTCAGAATGGTGTTTCGCCCAGCGCGGGCATTTCCCCTCCTCCGCCTTCCCCTGGTTCTCCTCTCTTCCCGCTTTTTCCACTCCAGCTCCTGCTGCTGCTGTTCGTCCCTGTCCTCCTCCTTCCTAATCCTCCTCCCTGTTCTCCTGCTCATCCTTCTGCTCATCCACCACCTCCTCCTCCTCATCCAATGTATGCAGCTCGCTTTTTTTCCCGGTCAGTGCTCGCACTGAAGGGGTCCTAGCGGATCTTGAAGGATTTGGCGAACGTGGGCGGCCGATTTCGGTGGGTCGCTGTGTTCCCGGGTTCCTGGTTTTGGGTTCCCGGGTTCCCAGTTTCTGGTTCCGGGCGGACTCCGGTGGGCGGTAGTGTTCCCAGGGTTCAGGGTTCCCGGGTTCTTGGTCGATCTCCTTATCGATCTGCTTCACCATCGATCTCACTACCTCTTCCCTGTCGATCTCACAGTCGATCTCACTATCGATCTCATTGTCGATCTCACAATCGATCTCATTATAATCTCACGATAGATCGCCCGAGCGATCGGACGATCGATCTCATTATCGATCTCACTGAATCGACTTCACTTTACATCCCACTATTCTATTGTTTTCGAGAGAGATGGTGAGGCTGAATCACTAACCATCCGCTGATTGGAGTTTTCTTTGGTGTAACTGATTCCGCGTAACACGATGAGGTCCACTTTGGAATTCCAGGTCCGCTATGTCATGCGTCGGTGAATAGAGAAACACAGCGCCATGAGCGGGATGGGCAGAATGTGAAACATGGCGCGAGCGTGCCTAGCTTGACAATTACACCAATTGAATACTACTCTCCTCTTTTCCCCGAAGACGGCGGTGAGGTGTCCTGGCCTCCTCTGCGTATGTTGAAAGCACAGTGTGCTGTCGAGTTGATCATTAATATGTGTTTTACGCCTTCAGTCCTTTCAGGATGGCGCTCCCGCTACAGCGTTGGCTCCATTTTCCTGTTCTCAGTCCTTCCAAAACACGTTCCCGCTGTAGTGCTGACCTCGTTTCATTGTTTCGACTCTTCCAAATCGTGCTCCTGCAGTAGCGTTGGTTTCGTGTCCGCGCCTCCAGTCTTTCGAGATCGTGCTCCCACTGCAGCAATTGTCCCATTTCCACGGTTTCGGTTCTTCGAACTGGTGCTCCCGCTACAGCGCTGATCTCATTTTGCGCTCCCCGCTTTCCAAACCGTCCATTTGCTTGTCCCGTCCTGTGTCATGTCTGGTTTCCCATTTTACCCTGTTGTCGAAGTGAGTCGCGTTCTCGAAGCGATGCCATGCTATGCGATCTGCGAACTTGTCGGCACTTTCGTGGGCTCCTGGGAGGCCCAGCGGAGGTACGTCCCACGCGGACCACCACTATAGCTCGCGGTGCCCTGGGGTGCTGCGATCTTCGAAATTGTCGGCACTTTCGTGGGCTCCTGGGGGGCCCAGCGGAGGTACGTCCCACGCGGACCACCACTGTAGCTCGCGGTGCCCTGGGGGGCTGCGATCTGCGAAAGTGTCGGTACTTTCGTGGGCTACTGGGAGGCCCAGCGGAGGCACGTCCCACGCGGACCACCACTGTAGCTCGCGGTGCCCTGGGGGGCTGCAATCTGCGAAAGTGTCGGCACTTTCGTGGACTCCTGGGAGGCCCAGCGGAGGTACGTCCCACGCGGACCACCACTGTAGATCGCGGTGCCTTGGGGGGCTGCAATCTGCGAAAGTGAGGGCACTCTCGTGGGCTCCTGGGAGGCCCAGCGGAGGTACGTCCCACGCGGACCACCACTGTAGCTCGCGGTGCCCTGGGGGGCTGCAATCTGCGAAAGTGTCGGCACTTTCGTGGGCTCCTGGGGGGCCCAGCGGAGGTACGTCCCACGCGGACCACCACTGTAGCTCGCGGTGCCCTGGGGGGCTGCAATCTGCGAAAGTGTCGGCACTTTCGTGGGCTCCTGGGGGGCCCAGCGGAGGTACGTCCCACGCGGACCACCACTGTAGCTCGCGGTGCCCTGGGGGGCTGCAATCTGCGAAAGTGTCGGCACTTTCGTGGGCTCCTGGGGGGCCCAGCGGAGGTACGTCCCACGCGGACCACCACTGTAGCTCGCGGTGCCCTGGGGGGCTGCAATCTGCGAAAGTGTCGGCACTTTCGTGGGCTCCTGGGAGGCCCAGCGGAGGTACGTCCCACGCGGACCACCACTATAGCTCGCGGTGCCCTGGGGGTCTGCGATCTGCGAAAGTGTCGGCACTTTCGTGGGCTCCTGGGAGGCCTCGCCGCCCCCTGGGGGGCTGCGATCTGCGAAATTGTCGGCACTTTCGTGGGCTCCTGGGAGGCCCAGCTGAGGTACGTCATACGCGGACCACCTCGGGACCTCGCCGCCCCCTGGGGGGCTTGCGATTTGCCGTTCCTCTTCTTGCTGCGCTCTTCTGAAATCACTGCTGGGTGCTCTTCTTGCGCACTGTGGTTCCTTCAGAATGCCAGCCAGCATTGAGTGGTCCTGAGTATAATCGCCACATGTACAGAGAGGGTTGGGTACGTCACAGGGCAAGCTACATCATTATTTCTTCCTCCCTGCCTCTGCCTAATTACTGCTTTGTGTTATGGGCTTTTCCCCTCCCAGTGCAGCAGTTGTACGAGCGGCTGCAGCGACGATAAACACCCCGCTCCCAAAGATCCCAGACGTGGTCGCACAGGTCTGAGGACAGCCCCTCGGACTCCTCGTAGCGACTCCACGACGTAGGCCCTAGTACTTGTGGGTATGCGGGGCTAAGATGTCAGCGGCCTACTGAGGTCTGTAGGGCTCTGATCGCTACCCATGTGCTTGTGGCATATTCCGCCACCGTCTGGGCGCAGCACTCTGGGCGCCATCACTAGGTGCGCAGCACTCTGGGCGCCATCCCTAGGTCCAGACCTCGTTGCTGTTTGTCTGCCGTACTTTTGTCTCCGTGCTGGTCAGCCGTTTTTTGTTGTCAGGGCCGATTTGGGCTCTGTGGCATCGTCTCGGGAGCCTCTTGGAGTCTTCGGGGGTCGTCCTCAGGGCCTCTTGGCCGTCTTGGGGCGTTTGGGGGCTCTCCAGAGCCCCTCATGGCCAGTCTGGGCAGCATCTTGGGCTGGGCCCCAGGGCCCTCTCAGGCCCCTCTTCGGGCCTCCCGGGCCGTCGGGCTTCGTGGGCCACTCTAGGAACTTCTCTGGGCCCTCCTGGACGCTCCAGATGGCATCTGGGGCCGAAGAACGCAGGAGACAAGCTTGAAGCACAGCTTGCAGCCTCCTGGAGCCTCGTGGGTCGTCCACGGGGCCTCTTCGACAGCTTGGATGCCCTCCTGAGCCGTCGGGAAGGCCATCTGGAACTTTTTGGAGCCCTGGTGTCTGCCAGGGAGGTGCCGAGCCGCCGGGACCTGCTGGCGAGCTGGCGGGATGCGATTGGGGGGGGCCTCGGGCAGCTGCAGGAGCCCTGCGAGGCAGCGCTCGGCATCCTGCCACGCCCCAGTGTGCCGGGAGGCACGGTGGCGGATTGGTGCTGCTGCTCTGTCGCAGCGGGCCCCTCCCGAGGTCCCAGGGTAGTTGCTGTGTATTCGTTTTTTTTTTTTTTTTTTTTTTTGTTTCTTCTCTCTCTCTCTCTCTTTGTTTTGTTGTTGTTGTTTTTTCTCCTCTCTCTCTCTCTCTTGAGTCGCTGGCATGTGCGCGTGTCGCGGCAGTGAGGCCAGGGCGGAGGCGGCATCGGAGCGCAAAGGCAGCAGCTCGGGAGAGTGGGAGAGGCTCGGGCTCAGCTGTATTCCTGGCGTGTTCTCCGGGGTAGGACGGGGGGCGCGCCGCGCGTCATCTGACTCAGAGGCCGGGTCCTCGGGCCCAGGGGCAGCACGCTTTTCCAGGCATCCTTCCCTCTCTGCCCCCCCCCCCCGAGGGTCAGAGGTATCAGCCCAGGCTCGTGCCGTTGCTCTTCGGCGCCCAGCGTGGGTCCGGGGAAGGGCCGCAGCGTGGCAAGAAGCTCCGAGGAGTGCCCCGATCGCCCAAGACCAGCCCAAGAGGGGGCTCGACGATACCTTGCACCTGGTCCCAGAGGGCCCGCTTCGTTTCTTTTGTTTGGGGGGGCCGAATGGGTCTGCTTTTGCTGGGTCTCGCCGTGGATCGGGAGGGTCTCACGCTGTGCTCGCTCGTCTGGAGGCCAGTCTTGGGGATCCCCCCCTCCCATGGCCCTTCAGAGGCCCCAGAGGAGCCCCAGAAGGCTCTCAGATCGCCCAAGGGCTCCTCGTCCTCCTCGTCCTCCTCGTCCTCCTCCTCCTCCTCCTCCTCCTCCTCCTCCTCCTCCTCCTCCTCCTCTCCCTCTTGCTCCTCCTCCTCCTCCTCCTCCTCCTCCTCCCTCCTCCCTCCTCCCTCCTCCCTCCTCCCTCCTCCCTCCTCCGACGACGTCCCCAGGAGAGACCCATTGGGCTGCCCAAAGATGGTTCCAAGGGGGGCTGGCCTTCGTTGCACTGTTGTGTAGTCCGCTCGATTGAGGGACTTACTCCTTCGTGGGCGGGCCCTTCCTTCGCAGAGCTCCCCAGTTTGAGCCTAGAAGGGTTTCAATGCGGTCACCAGGCCCTGGGAATACCCCTAGAACCCAAGACAGCCCAAGAGAGCCCCCAGTATGCACCCAGGTAGCCCTTGTGGAGGATTCCGGGTGCGGAGCGCACTTGATCACTTTTTCATGATATTCTGGGATATGGGAAGCTCTCACGCTGGGCGTCTTGAGGTAGTCTTGCGAGGCGGGGGAGAGGGTGAGCTGCCTTCTCTCCACCCTCACCCTCCTGCCCTTCCCTTCCCTCTCCCTCCTTCGCCTCTCCCTCCCTTCCCTCCCCCTCCCTCCCCACTCAACGCCACTTCCGGGTATCCGTCCTCGTCCCTTTACAGTGCGCCTTCCGTCGGTTCGCCAAGAGGGGTACGCCATGGTATAAGATTGCTGTGCTTATTTGGCAGGCCCTGGTGTGGTCTTTCACGCGGTACGCCTTTGCGCGGTCCATCTTCTTAAGAAGAGGAGGGAGGAAGAACGTGATGCGCAGGCGGAAGATACGGAGAAGCAGCAGCAGCAGCAGCAGTTGGCCGACGCGAAGCGGGAAGCCATACGGAGGAGAGTTGGAGGCTTGGCATCGCCATCATGATCGAGCCTGGAATCGAGCCGAAGTCGGCGGATGCCGTCCGGGCATGGGTCAACCGCGGGGGCAAGCTCAAGGTGGTGCGCGCGCGCGCGCCCAACTACAGCATGCCTCTCCCCGCTCCCCTCGTCATCCTCGCCGCGCTCCTCATCGTCGTCGTCGTCGTCGTCGCCGTCGTCGTCGTCGTCGTCGTCGTCGTCGTCGTCGTCGTCGTCGTCGTCGCTGTCGTCCTCCGCGTCCTCCTCCTCCTCCTCCTCCTTGCCGTCTTCCTTGTCCTCCTCCTCCTCCTCCTTCTCCTCCTCCTCCTCCTCCCCCTCCTCCTCCTCCTCCTCCCCCTTCTCCTCCTCCTCCTCCTCCTCCTCCTCCTTCTCCTCCTCCTCCTCCTCCTCCTTCTCCTCCTCCTCCCCCCCTCTTTGTTCCGTCGCAGATTTGGCTCAAGATGCAGGTTTTCCCTTGGGAAGATCGCGGATGCCTCTAGTCCGGGGCCAGCTCATGGTGATTTTGTATCCTGCGACCCTCGTGACCAGCCGCCTGGCGGTCACGAGTTTCGCTGCCCCGCTCCCGCACTTCGCGCCGGGGTACGTGCAGGACCTTTTCGTTCCCGCTGCGTCTGGTGCTCCAGCCACGGGGCGGCGACACGCAGGAGCCGAGACGTCGCAGGGAGAACATGCCACATCGCCTTCCAATCGAGGGCGCCGTCGTGACAGCTCTCACGGCCGCTCACCCGGTCGAAGCAGGAGTGGGCAGAGAGGGATCACATCCAGGCGCTCGAGTACTCGTGAACGTGATCGCCATCTTACATCCCCTGCCCGCTCGGACTCGGGCAGCGACATCATGGGAGCCATGAAGGACATGATGGCCCTTCTGAAAATCAACCTCACTTCAAGCATCGGTGCGTCGACCGCCGCCATCCAGATCCGCCACCATTAGGAAGCAACCATCATCGTTCTCGACGCCAGGGTCTCCCCAGCCCATGACGTGCTGACCGAACACCAGGAACATGTCCATACCCTCGCGCAGCAGATGCAGGCCCTCTTTCAGATGACCGACGACCCGCCCATGAACACCGATGTCCCTGCAAGCCGTTGTGCCAGGATCCATATGCCGTTACAGGCCAGTGGCTCCCGTCAAGCAGGTACCAATCCTCTTGTGCGTTTCTTCGGCAACTGTCGTTGCCCTGTTCACAAGGCCGTCCGTGAAACACACTGCCAGAGTCTACTCCGAACCCGCACTCACATTCTCCAGGGCGCTGAAGTTGTACTCTACGCGGTTGCCCAGAACTACAAGGGCATTATAAGCTCGCTCGTCAGTGCCAAGCAATTTCGTGAAAACGCCCGCCAGGAGGACCTCCAGTGGATCGACCCCAGGGCGGGAGGAGCACACCAGCTTCGAATTCGGCTGAACATCTTCGACTACAACGGGCTGCTGGGACAGATGGGATACCTCCGGAATTATGGCGTGCACTTATTGACAACGACAGCGCATTGGAGATACTTACATCATTGTGCAATGCGTGTTGTGTTGACAAGACTATCCCAGAGGACTGGAGGGAGGCGTCAGTCGTTACAATTTTCAAGAAAGGCGACGCGTCCCAACCTAGCAAGTACCGACCAATATCTCTTCTTGTTGTGGGCTACAAGATTCTGGCCTGCAAACTGTTGAGCAGACTCAAACACGGAGGTGCTGAAAACGCTCTGCGAGAATCACAGTATTGCTTCAGGGCGAACCTCAGCATTGGCGATGCTTTGTTTTTGGCGCGAATATTGATTGATTGAAGCTGTTATTATTTCTTCTGGACTGGAGCAAGGCCTTCGATTGTATTTCAACGACTGGGCTCGTTTACGCATTGCGCATTTTGGCGTGCCGGCCGAGATGGTAGACATGATCGAGGGCATTTGCATGGTCAGGAAATTTATCGTCCAGGACGCAGGCGGGAGAATTCGCAACGTACGCAATCAGCTGGTATTGCCCAAGGTTGCCCTTTATCGCCCTACCTTTTCATCATCGTCATGTCCGTGCTTCTCGAAACCGTGGGCCAGCAGATGTCCGCGGAATGCCCCGACCGGCTCACGAAGCCATGCGTGGTGACCGGAGATGTGCTCTACGTAGACGACACCATGCTGGTGGCACAAGACAACGCCGTTCTTCAGAAGCATCTGGAGACTGTCGCGAAGATCGGGATGCTGTGCGGGCTAGAGCTGCGGTGGCAAAACAGTGCTTCTCAGGGTACGTTCGGAAGAGTCCATGTGTGGACCTGGTGGTGAAGCAACGCAATGAAAAGACCAAGCGGTGTATTTGGGAGGGTTGCTGAGCACGGATGGCAATCGTCGCGCAGACAGAGCTAACGTGACGGCTGGGGGAGGCGAGCAACAATCAACATTTTCTAACAAGTGTGTCCAAGTTGGAATCACATGCTTCTCAGCCAGAAGCATAGACAACGGATCTTGTTATCTTGTGCATTCTGCATGCTCCTGAAGGCGGACGGGGACAGGCTCGACAGCTTCCAGACGCAGAGCTTGCGAACTATGCACAACGTGCTGCGGGCGGGCGTGTCCAGAGTGAGCAACGAGGTGGTAAGACGACGCCCAGGCTCGGCGGCTATCTGTTGATTTCCTTGAAAGGCAACTTCGGTTTTATGGGAAATTCGCCCAGGAGAGCAACAAGGGCCTCCTAAGAGCAATGGTTTTCCAGAGTGGCCCCTGCCACGAAGTTTGACCAAGATCATGGCGCAGCGCCCGGTCTCGAGGGCGCCCTCGCTTGCAGTGGGCATCGCGCCTGCATTCGCGTGCGCTGGGAGTGGCCGCAGGCAGTTTTGAAGCACTCCAACATATAATTCAAGACGCTGCGAAGTGGAAGTCGGCAGTTGCAGAATATTGTGGCAGCGTGTGATCGGCCTTCCTGTGGTCTTCTTCCCTCCTCCTCGCCTCCGGACGCGCCGCGCAGCTATCCCTCTCGCTGCGTTGGAGCAAAGGTGGCAGCGATGCCCCCTCGAAGCGCTGCGCTGGCTTAGCGGTCGCCATTCTTATTCCTTCGTGCGTGCGTGTTCGCATGTGTTTTCAGCCGGATCTTGCCGGTGCGCCGTCAGGGCGCGGCATTTGCGCGCGCGTGTGCGCCGATCGACGCGCGCGACCGCCAGCTCCAGATCAGCCGCACTTACCAGCCCATCTTCGACGCCTTGAAATCTCGCCCAGAGCGGAACCCAGGGGGCAAGCCTGCAGTCAACGGCTGCCAGCGGCTCCAAAGGCGAGACGATCGTGACCACTCTGAGGAGCGTCTCCGTGATAGTGAAAGTTTCAAGGAGGCCCGCGCCTCAGGGGGAGTTCCAGGCCATCCAAGAAGTGTTCAACGCGTGGGGGGCCCAAGCCATCTTCGATGCCGCCCGCCACGCCGCGACTCTGCAAGGGTGGGGCTTACCAGTGAAGCGGTCTCGTTGCGCCAATAATCTCGCCTGTGCCCGTCTGTCTCAGTCGCGGGGGAGTGCCGCGCGTGCCCGGCATGTCAGTCGCTCGAACCAGCCGGCGGGTCACTGTGCGAGGAGTTCCCCGCCGCCGAGAGGCCCCTTCTGGCCCCCCGCTGCCCGGCAGTGCTTCTGTTCTTCGTTCGGGCGTTTCCGCTCCTCCTCCGTTTTTGCAGTCGGAATATTTCGGCGCTCCTGGGATCTGTGCACTCGAATAAAAGCCAGCTTTCGGCTTGAATTTGGACATGTTCGGCCTCTTGGTCGGCGTTTCGAAGTCCTTGGGATCCGAGAGTCGCAGGTGGAGTAGCGGATGTTAGACGCCTTCATCGCGAGTTCAAGTCGCGCATGTACGATGGTGGCTTCTGTCCGTCTGCCTCTGCAGGAGGCGACCTCCCCTCTATCTCTAAGCGCCTTCTCCAGCGCTGGCACGTGGAGACTTTCGTTCAACATGTCCCTGGTTGCCTCGCTGTCCTGAAGCCTCAGGGGGGCCCTGGAAAATTTCAGTTCGTTCGTTTTCATCTTGATCCTGAGTGGGGCGTCTATGAGGTCATGGGGTCTTCTGCAGGCTGAGGGCCAAGTTTGGCGACTCGTGGCGCAGTGCTATCTTTATGTTCGGCGACGTAAGTTGTGTGGCAACAGGTGAGTCTCGCCTGAACTCCAGCGCGGGGCTCGAATGGCCCACTACTAGCCGTCTCGCGTGCATCTTCCACGCGTCGTTCCCCTTCCGTATCGAGGCCCAACAGGGCCAGGATTCTCGGCGAATAAATCGGAACCAGGTGCTCTCCACAGGGCGTCAGGACAGGCCCTACTGCAGTCTGAGCTCTCAGGACCTCCTCGACCTAGGGCCCCGTGCCGGCGCGTGCCGGGCAGCCGCTGGCCTCAGTGAGCCGTCCGACCGCGTTCCTGTACTTCGCGCGCTGACCCCGCGGGCCCTTGGTGCCTCTCCGTTTTTGCCGGCCTGGCTTGCCGAGCGTCGTATGTCCAAACTGTTGGTGGCGCGTTGGTATTCCAGAAGAGCTGGGTTGACGGCGCTGACGCCCAGCTGCCAGTCGCGAGAGACGTCTTTTGCATTGCCGCCGCGAAGGTTCGGAACGCGTTTTTGTCCCATGGCGCCAGCAGCCGCGATGGGGGCGATCGCCCACGCCATCAAGCTGGTGCCGGCAGTCAGAGGGGGGATGTTTCAGGGCGCCCGTGAAGCAGCGCGTGGCTTTCCGTAGCTGGCCGACTTCTTTGATGTGGAGCTGAGTATATGGATCCAGAGGGGTCGGTCCGATTTCTGCCTTGCCAGTCCGATGTGGGGGCTCTGCGAAATGCGGGGGTCGAGGGGCCGACTAGCCGCCCCATAAGGTTGCCCAGGACAGATGCTCTGCCTAGCTCTAGAAGATCCGTGGTGCGGCCCAAGCTGAGAGGAAGCAGGGGAGGGGGCTTTGTCTTTCCCAGGTCGCGGACCCTGATGGCAACATTTTTCCGGATGGGGGGGATGTGCCAAGCTGCTGGCCGACTATTGGGGGATGGGGTGATGCTGGGGGGGGGGGGGGAGGGTGGTGCGTGCGCGTGTATGTGTGGGGGTTGCAGGGCCAGGCCGTGGGCCCAGAGGACTGCCGCGCGCCCTCTCAGGAC